TCCTATATTCAATCCTCGAGGAACCGATACAGGTCGGAGCACCAACCTGGCCGATCTCATATTGGAGAAGATCGCAGAGCATGAAGCGAAGCAGTCCGGTAACGGTGGACCCATGATTCAAGGTGGAGGATTGCCCGAAGACGCCGTTCAGATACCCGCAAAAGCTGTTGAAGTCTACGAAAAGTGAGTATATTCGTCTCATCCATTCGCATGGTCATTGTGCTTATGGTCTCTACCAGAGTCGGCATGATACTGTCTCGCTACAAGTCCGGGCCTCTTCCCAAGCCATTCAAGATTCTCCCCTCTGTCCCCAATTGGCCGACTCTCCTCTCTATCACTCGCCCCGAGTCGTGGACAGCGAACGCTGTTTATGCCGGGACAAGGATTTTCATTTCATCGAAGCCAGCCGTTGCTCAGGAGTTCATATCGACAGTGCTCCTTGACCGCGTTCGAGAGGAGATTCACGAAACAAAGAAGTTAAATGTTCACACCTACAACGCTCTGAAGAAAGCGCTGTACAAGCCAGCTTGCTTTTTCAAAGGTCTGCTGTTCCCGCTGGTATCAAGTGGTACTTGCACCCTACGGGAGGCGCACATCGTCTCTTCTGTCATCGCACGTGTATCTATCCCAGTATTACACTCTGCGGCTGCTCTACTTCGCATGTGCGACCTCGCCGCAGAACAGTCTATCAGATCGCTCGAAAGCACGGGTGCGGTCAATGTCTTCATCCGTGTGTTCCTCGAGAAGAAATACGCGCTTCCATATAAGGTGATTGACGCTCTCGTTTTCCATTTTCTGCGCTTCCGCGCTAGCGACAATGCCGAGGACTCGATGATGACCGATGGACCGTCTGGGGCTGCTACGAAAGCGTATAAGCTTCCTGTTCTTTGGCACCAGTCATTATTGGTCTTTGCCCAACGTTACCGCAACGATATCACTGAAGATCAGCGTGAAGCTCTCCTTGACCTGTTGTTAGTTCGGGGCCACAAGGATATCGGCCCCGAGGTCAGACGGGAATTGTTGGCAGGTAGAGGACGCGGTGTGGTTGTACCCGACCCAGAAAAGCAGGGCGCTCTCGACGCTGGTGATGACACGATGGATGTCACGTTTTAGGCAAAAGCATTGACTCAGTTGAACTGTCTTTAAACAGTTCCATGCTGTCTTGCCATGTTTTCTGTTCATGAGTTTCTGTGACTGCGATGGGCGTTCAGGGTGTTCAGAAAAAATGATTCTTTTGCATATGTTCCCGGGGCGCTTGGAAATCTTATCATCAACGCTACCATTGCTCTTGTCTAGAGGGTAGTACTGATAAAGGGTAACAAGATTTTTTCACTACTGTCAATATGATCCGCGTAGATAATAGACTATGCATTCAGGTAGTGGCTTCGCCATCACCTGTCTCATCAGGTCAAGGAATTCACAATTTAATGCTCCATGATGCAGCCCGTTAGCATCATACAAAGTACTATTCCTTCTGCTCTTGTCCCCGTAATATTCTCATGATTGATTGACGAACAAAACATCAGTATCCCTGGAATTCTCATGGCAGCGACCGTATTAACAGTCCTTGGCACATGAGAGTGGTCACCTGAATATTTAGCAGTAGTAATAATTTCAATCAGTTCTGTAACAATGCATTCATAGCCAGCTTGCCATGTACCGGAATGGCTAATAAGGCTGAGACTGCGATACTAATACACCGAGGCCAATAGCCTCAGACATTGTACATGCCGTTGATGATATCCCAGCATGTTGTATTTCGAGCATTGGGCTCCTGGACTCCCTTGTCGCCCCCGCAGCATATTTCTTTAGCATAATCAAGTACCAATTCTGTTGAATGCGTAAACATCATTTCAGTCTCAAGGGTGGAACAGTGTCCTGGAATAACGACTACCTTGAATGTCCCTCACTCAGAGTCGAGATGGGATGAGACTTTATTTACGGAGTACGGAGTTAGTGGACTTGCTTGCAATTCTAAAGCCTTATGGAGCAGAATAAAACAACATTAAAGCACTTAGACAATGGGATACATAAGTAATCCTCTGGATATACTCCGTAGAATAGCGACTCTCCACAATGTTCGGAGTGAGTTCGGAGTGCCTACGCTGCAGACACATGGGTGTCTCCCAGTACCATGTCGTATCAACTACCTACCTTATCTGGTTCTCTACGGTTCGGTTCTCCTTACGTAGTCTGCCTAGACTCTAGTGTTATTGGAATACGGCAAATTGTTCTAATACGAGCCCCGATATTATTAGCAGTGCTCTAGAGGTGATCCAGACTATTATTGAGCAGGAATGGCTACCTCAATCTCTCTGACGCGCCGTAATCCACAGTGGGGGTCGCCACCAATCTACGGAGTACCTCGTACCATTGACTCCCTCACCTACCTGGGGAGATTACGACACATACTATCGAGCGTTCAAGCATCGGTAAAATAGTCTCATGCTGGTTGGCAATCATCTAAGAGATTCCTTGTACTACATTCAATTAGGCTTTATGGAATGTCTACCCGAGGGGTACCTTTAAGTAGGTACTCCGTACGGAGGAAAGTGCACGATTCCGGACCCGCAGGATTTCTAACTGCGTCTGGTTGGACTTGGGTGTTTCAGATAATAATGGGACGTTTGACTTTGAGCGGAGGCTTAGAGGGGTTGCATTTCCAGGGATGGCGTGAGGGGGCCAGATTTGGTTCACTGTTACGCCGTACATTGCCCGCATTACAGTTCCAATACGGTCACCCTTGGTGTGGCTACCCGCCGGTGAGCCCTCGAGGTGTGGGCTTGGCGTAATCTATGAAACATTACCGTAGTTATGCTGACGGAGGCAGCTCCGCCCCCTTGCTGACAGAACTGACCACGCTGGCCTTTTAAAGAGTCATCTTTCCCCGTCACATCTGACCACTTCAACCAACTTCTGACCACTTGTCCTTTTGTTTCCTCTGGTCGTCGTCCACATTACCATATCCCACCACATCGGCAGACCTCCGGCGCCTGGCTCCGGGTTTGACCGTTATGCCAACGTGGCTTTTCCTTTCGTAAACCAGGCAAGTGGACGTCATCATCAGGCTCCTATCCCATACAAGGCGTGTTCTCTGCATCATCTTTCCTGAGATACTCACAGAGAGCTGCAAATACCTGTGATCTTGTCTACCGGATCAACCCATCACGCTTACAAAATGGAAGACGACTTCACTTCAGTTGTAGAGTCCTTGTCTGGTACACCAGCACCGGCTATACCGCTACTCACAGTCTCGCCTGCGGATACATCGTTGAACGCGCCAGAGACCAAAGTGCAGGAGACAAAATCAGAGGAGAAGAAGCCACCTAAGAAACGGAAGTCATGGGGACAGGAGCTGCCCATTCCAAAGACCAACTTGCCTCCTAGGTATGTTCTCTCGCGTCCGACAAAATTTGTTGGGTCAGCTGGCTTACACTTCATAAAGAAAACGGGCCAAGACGGAAGATGAAAAGGAACAGCGTCGCATCGAGCGCGTTCTCCGAAACCGTGCGGCGGCACAGACGTCTCGCGAGCGCAAGAGACTCGAAATGGAGAAGTTGGAGAACGAGAAGATTCAGATGGAACAGCAAAATCAATTCCTTCTCCAGTGTCTGTCACAGATGGAAGCTGAGAACAATCGATTGAGCCAACAACTCGCCCAGTTGACTGCCGAGGTTCGAGGCTCTCGTAGCAGCACTCCGAAGCCCGGTTCTCCTGCCACAGCATCTCCAACTCTAACACCTACCTTGTTCAAGCAAGAGGGTGATGAGCTTCCTCTTGAACGAATTCCATTTCCCACTCCCTCAATCACTGATTACTCGCCAACCCTAAAGCCTTCCAGTCTGGCTGAGTCCTCCGACGTGACACAACATCCTGCAGCGGTGTTGTGCGACCTGCAGTGTCAGTTGGCGGACTCGAAGGACCTGGAAGTGCCCTCCCGCTCTTTGACCTCGGCTCTGGCGTGGAACATGACGCTGCAAATGACATTGCAGCTCCTCTTTCTGACGATGACTTCCACCGCCTATTCAACGGTGATTCATCCACTGAGCCAGATTCTTCGGTCATTGAAGACGGGTTCTCCTTTGACATTCTCGACTCAGGAGATCTATCAGCATTTCCATTTGATTCTATGGTTAATTTCGACTCCGAGCCTGTCTCCCTCGAAGGCATCGAGCCGGCCCACGGTCTTCCGAATGAGACTTCTTACCAGACTTCTAGCTTGCAACCCAGCCTTGGCGCGTCCACTTCGCGATGCGACGGGCAGGGCATTGCAGCTGGCTGTTAGTGAGAATGTCTCTCGGGGAAATTGGTCCGCCGGTGATGACGCGGGCCGACTGCACTGGGAGTCGTTGTTGACCTTGGCTTGGGCGATAGATCGTTTTGAGCGAATGAAAGGTCGGAGACGAATTCTCTTCGCGAAATTAGAGCGAGGTGCGCGGCGTGATACTTTGGGCAACCGCCAAAGGAGTCCACGGAGTTCATGGAGTTCAAAGCGATTGAGCGAGACGTTGACGTCTCTGCTGATGGGTAAGGACCGATGAAATTTGGGCTGTAATATAGTGTGTCTTTTCAATCGAGAGCAACTGGCAACTGAGATGCTGGTCGTTTCGCTGTTTCTCAAATTGATTCTCTTTTCCAAGTCGTTGTGCCGACCACGCTTCGTAGTAAGGCATATTTATCATTCTTCTGTAACGTGTACTTGCGTTAGGAATAGCAACCACTTGATGTCTTCGTCAAGTTACTGGGAGGATCTTGTAGATTGTCAACTACTTCGGAGATTCGGGATGACGTTGCCGCGCCGCTTTGATAAGTTCCGTAGTATCAACGCTATCCCCAATCGAGAACCTGAAGTCACGGCTGCATTGTTGCCTCCCGCCTTTCCGCCTCCAACGGATCTGTCCATTCGGCTTCAACTTCTGTCACTTTCGCATTCAGGACACTTGTTAGCGATTTCGTATACCCTAATTTTAACAAGTTAATTTGTATTGCTCCCAGGCAAAATGGTTCGCAAGGATCCTATCTTCGAAGCCCGCACCAATGTCAAGGTGAGCTGGAATCTCCACCTGCGCGGAGCACTCTTATGTGCTGCGCTCTCAGCAGTTGGGAAATAAACAACATATCTGACGAATTCCTCCATTGCAGTTGCACTCGAACCGGCTCAAAAAGGAAGCTGCTCGCGCGGAGGCAACATTCAAGTCAGAAAAGGCGAAGGCGGACAAGGCTATGAAGAATCGCGAGTTTCAAATTGCCCGTATCCACGCCGCCTCTGCTGTACGAGAGAAACGACGACAGGTAACCCTCAGAGCAGAGGCTGCGCGGGCGGACGTCATCATAAATGAACTCAAAGCGGCTCAGAGCACTCGCGATACATCCCGAACCCTCGCTCTGGCATCAAGAGGCCTGGATGCGGCGTCGAAGAGTGTCAATCTCGAAAACCTGGTGTCTCATGCAAATAACTTCTTAGCGCGATCGGAAGATTTCAAAATCGCTAGTAGTGCGATAGAGGATGTCGCTCAAGGTGTCTCTATGCAGGAGTATGGTGCCGAGGGCGAGGCCGAAGTTGATCGTCTCATGGAACAGCTTGCAGACGACGCGGGTGTGGATATGCGCTTGGCGTTGGATGCTGATGCAGCACCCAAGGAAGACGTCAAAGAGCAGAAGCAGGCCGACTCGGAGCTGGAGGATGGCCTGGGAGCGAGACTACGTGCTCTCAGAGCTGCAAGCTGAAAAGAAATTCTTGTCTTCCTTTTGTTACCTTCCAGCGCACCGTTAACAGCTGGCTGATTGCTTTACATGTTACAAACGACGGCCGAATGTTGCCGTCCGCTTGTAGCATCAGTCAGACTCGATTTGCCCTGTTTTCTTCAGGTGGATATTGACGAAGTTATGCCTCCCTAGTTTTGATATCCGTCGTTCTCGGTCTCTAAATAAGTCCTCCTGCATTTGCTGCCACAACCTCGTGTTCCAACTGCTTTTGGGGACCATCTTGTTCGGCGTAGGCTTCGGTTATACTGCATATTGGTTTCGATTTCCCGCTATTATTTCTTATGTCGTCGTCAAATTCTAGCTTCGCGTCTTATCATGCCTGTACTTCGTTCCCTAATGTCTCATTGGGTACAACACGGTTGCATAGAATCAATATGACCATAACTCTCCTTTATTGACTAAGGACGTCCAAGGACATAGGCCGACCTAAAAATAACATTAGCATGCTCAAAGCCCATACCTCTTGTTGTACAGCTAGCACTCAATACTGTCCAGATTTAGGATTCTTCTGTGCTTAAGGGCTAAAGCGAGTAGCCCAGCGGTGCCGATGTGCTAGGGCACTAGATAGATACTGTCTACTTGCATCAAAATGAAAGGGGCGCTAAGTGTCATTCAAAAGACTTGTATTGCCACGAGCCAACCTGCGTCAGCGTCTCTCTATGTGGAGAGTACTGAGCAAGTATTTCGACCAAAAGAAAGGGAAAAGGACTCCAGTGTAGAACATCAACAAAATTTGGAGTCATTCCTGTCTCCCAGAATCCGCATGAGCCCATTGTTTAGCACATAGTACCTCGTCTTTCTAGGTATTTTCTGCCTTAGGACGTGGTACCGAGTATATCCGTAAGCCGTGAGGTAAGAGATTATCCATTTTTTAATTCCCCTTACTTAAACGAGATAAATTGGCTAAGCAGCTACTGAGACTCTAAGTCGCTTAAGAGAGCCCTCGGTGACTTTGTCGATATTCTCCCAATGACAAGCGAGTGAGCCGATGTGTCTAGGCCCTTTCTAGGTCCCTTTTCTTAGCGATACAACCCTGCTAAAATTACTAGGACCTATTTGATCCCTAGCGCAGGGTTTAAAGTATGGTTACCTCCTAGACTCTCTCACTAATGATATACCTGGTTAGACTGTTTGGTGGTACCTATCTGGTCCAGACACCATCACAACTCAGAAGTCCAATCCCTCATTTTCTCAGACCTTTTCCTAGTCTAGTTTCGAGAATCCTCGCTAGTTGGCCACTCGCTGACTGGCCGAATGTGGCCAAAAATGAGCTAACTGTACATCGTGACCAGCCCGGTCTTTTCATCTTGTCCCCTATCTTGAAGTCCGTCCAATTACCACGCCGGGAAGGTATGCTAGTTTTGACCGTGGTCACCCACAGAGGCATAGACCGAGCGGTTTATGCCACAGAGAGCTAGGAACTCCGTGAGTCCGTAGACACAGACCCCTTAGCAAAAACGAGAGCCTCAATCTGCTGAGCCATTTGTTTAGGCAGTGCCCATTTGTGGCGCAATGTGTTTTCTCCTAAAAAACATCAGAAGGGTGGATTTTCCTTGATCAGATTTTCTATCCTTCTGTTTGACTCTTTTTCTGCGTCCGTTCCCTCGTTTGACCATCTCGGAGCCCAGTTCCCAAGCACAGCCAAGATGATGGCACCTTCGCATTCTTTTCCACTTGCATTTCTGTCCCTCATTTTACATCAAACTTGCGCCTTCGCTGCCCCGTGGATAGTCACCAAAGTGTATGAGCAAGATGTCTACACCGAGGATTACATATACAGGACCACAACAAGGACTAGCATCGATGAAATCACGCCGACAGCATCACCGATGCCTGCTGCCCTTTCAACAACAACTTATGTAACAAGCGACAGTTATGACGATGCTGTCACAGTTGTTCAAGTGCTGTATCCATCTGGTGCAGGGATCGAGTCGACCTACAAGTACTACAATTACCAAGACTCAAATGTCATCACGCAGTACTATGTGGATATGGTACTCACAGCGCCAACATCCTGCTCTTCGCAGTGGACCGTGACCACTGCGGTTCCGGTCTATGTTCCCAACGCTATTGAAGACGCTTTGCTTGCGACGTCCATGTCAACGAGCTACTCCGTGGACGATAGCCAACCCTTTCAACCAACCACATACACCAGGGCTCTTGCATTCATTGATCCTACACAAGTGCCCGCGTCGAGTCTGAGCAGGCTCAGTAACTCCTACCAGCACACCATATACCGAGAGTACGGGTGCTATGACAGCAGCACCGATAGTGGTAGCAGCTACTCGTACTATGATGGTAGTGACGGCGGCAGCTGGCTCTACGACCGCTATTATTACGGGGGCATCTCTCCCCTCGGTATTCTGCTTGTCTGCCTTCTGGGATGGTTCGGAGTATGGCTCGTCATCGGCCTCATCGAGAATTGGTTCCAGTTTCGACGCTTGATGAGGGGTTGGCAGGCTCGCCGAGGATTCCCAATTTCTTGGTGCATGGTTGCTCCTATTGTCTCCTGTCTGCTCCTTCTGTTCTGCCGCAAAGGCTTTCAGGCTCGTACTTCCGAGGAGGCGCAGGTGCTTCAAGAGAAATGGCAGCAAATGGGATTCTGGAGGAAAGTCGGCCTGTGGCTTCGGTGGGGTTTCGGATTTAGTTATCCACCTATGCTGGGTCCTGCTCCAGTCAAGGTTGGAAGGCCCTCCAAGCGACCTGTTGCTGCCACCGCTCCTCTTCTTGGTGTATCCCCACCACGGAGTGTCATGTCAGATGTCCATTCCGATTCGGGAAGCAATCGCGGAGACAGTGCTGCCCCTGGTCCAGCAATGACCTATATTCCAACGCCAGGCCAGACGCTGCAAGTTCCACCTTCAATACCGCCAAACAGACAAGTCCGACAACAGCAGGCCCCCATTCAGCCCATACCTGAAGTTCCTTCAACGGCTAGCGGTGCTCTTCCCGCTGATCCTAACACACATGCAACAGAAACGTCTAGTGAGCCCCGAACTTCATAGTCTGATGTGTGTGACATGCTGTAGATTTTCTGGACGGGGAGTGAACGACGAATGTTCTGCTATCTGGCGATCATGTCTGGCGAGCGAGACACAACTCCCCTATATAAAAGTCACTCTCACTTTCCCTTGCTGACGTCCAAAATATAAAATTCCCCTGTCAGGTTGCGACCGTCATTAGGACGTTACATACAACGATATGTAATATATAATAATATAAAGGATACTTGGGAGTGTTGAGAAATACGTTCTTTCCGGATTAGAAACGAGGGGAGTGGGAAGTATCACATTACCTTATTATTATTATTATTTCACAGGTGATCCCTAAAGAGAAAGGCTCGGAATCGTTTATGTACATCCTGTCGAGCGTCGGTAGCTGAGTCCTGGCTGTACCTAGGTAAGCACGCTGTTAACCTAGGTAGATTTTCCCATGACAGGAAGCTTTTGCCACATCCAATCACAGGGCCGGCTGGCCTAATGGTAAGGCGCTTGACTTCGGATCAAGAGATTGCAGGTTCGATCCCTGCGTCGGTCACATTTTTTTACATCCTGGATGCGCGTCAACTTAACTGAATAGTGGCCGACTGTGTACAGTCAATAAATAGCGTTAATATGAGAAGTTGTTCATGGAACGTATCTAATGTGGCAATGGCTGTTAGCCACGAAGGCATCCGCTTGTCCATAAGACAAAGTATTCCTGATCGAAATATAGCCCAGCCGGGCTAGCTCAATCGGTAGAGCGTGAGACTCTTAATCTCAAGGTTGCGGGTTCGACCCCCGCGTTCGGCTTTTCTTTTTCATTAGGACACGGCCTCTTTTTGCGCTCTTTTTACCTGTACTGCTTCCAAGAAGGAATAGCACCTTTCTTCTTTTTTTTTTCCCCCGCAAGTATTAAGTTTGCACCACAGTGCTGGCCTCCCCGGCGTGGCTGACCTGAATGGGGCTTATGTGGACGCCAAAATCCAGACAACGGTAGACTATATAATTCCCTAATGGAAATTATGATGGGTGACTACTTTCGACCATAAAAACACATCACTACATCCTGTATCTTAGGACACGCGCTGTTTGTGACGGCGGACAAGCAATCGGAACCACCTTGACAGACTGCTCCATCGCTTGGTAAATAAACCTATGGATTTTGGGAATTCCTTTGAAATGTTCTGAAACAAAAGAATCGTGCCTCAGGAAGTAAGACGATGGACGGCACAGCCGATCCACCGCAGTCAAACACAACGCCGCATGGACGACAGGCTGCATGTTTGAACTGCCGAAGAAGCAAAATACGATGCAAGCGCAGCCGCGAGGGTACCTGCTGTGACAGATGCAAACAAGCAAATCTGGAATGTATCGTACCCAGTCACCATCTTGGTAGACAAAAGGGTGTCAAGAAGTCAGAGTCACCGGACCCTATCTATTTCTATTACCATCATACATGCTTACATCCACTTGTAGCAAACGCAAAGGACTGGACAAAGCGTTACACCAAATAGAGCAGGCGATTAAGCGCCCCAAGACTGATGCAGCAGGATCCGAGGCTGCTCGGAAACTTATCTCAGACCTGCAGGATCTCCTTAGCAGGACACAAGGGCATTCTGCACGGAGTGAGGTCGAGGAGACATCAGAGGACTCTGAACGGTCACGGACGAGATCTCCTCCGCAAGGTGCCACTGCTGGGGACAATCTAGCATTGGATGACGCGGAGAATCCATTGCAACTTCTCGCCAGAGCCTCCGACCTCCAGTTTTCGCCCGCCGAATGCCGTGACGCACCCAGATTGTCCACTTCGTCTGTACCACCATCGTCTCTCAGACCGCATAGCAGCCCCAACGAGGACTTGCCAGTTGCCAGATCTTTTTTCGTCCCAGTCAAGGCGAAGCTAGACCTCGGCCCGGACATGGACCCTATCGAACTGGGCCTGACTACTTTGCATGAGGCGGAGTTACTTTTTTCTTTGTAAGTCAACCTATTAGACCCAAGATGTAATCTTGTCGATGAACTTACCAATTCGACAATAGCTTCTACGAGAATTTGGCCCACACGAGGTGGGGTCTGGATCCGACTGTGCATACTGTGTCATTCGTACGCTCGCAGTCTGCCTTTCTTTTCACTTCAATGCTGGCTGCAGCTGCCCGGTTTCACCCTTCTACAGCCGCCTTATCCAGAAGACTAACGAGGCACTGTAAATCACTGGCTTATAAGGTCATTGCTCAGCGTTATCGATCAGTGGAAATTGTTTTGGCCTTCATGGTAAACGTTCCATGGATGGCCCCAGGGAGCAGTTCTGGCGATGATGACACATGCTCCTATATTGCAATGGCTTTGACTGTTGCGTTGGACCTTTCTCTCAACAAGATAGTGACATCCTCAACTAGTTTTGATAGTACTCTCCAGAGCAGGCTTGCGAAAGCTGATTGCATTGATGCCAAGAGAGCCTTGCACATGGACGGATTCGAAGCTGTTGATCTGGATTCGGAATGGGGCCGAAGATTGTTACGTAGGCGCGAGAGGACTTGGATCGCGTTATTTGTCCTCGAGCGTGGGTATGTGCTGAAGCTCTTAGTCGAAGATATGCATATGGCGAGTTTGGCTAATCCGTATATTGCAGTGTCTGTTTGGCCCGCGGACGAAGCTATACAGTTCCCCCAACTGCTCTCATCGAAAATTGTGACAGATGGCATATCTCTGATATTGCTGACTCTCGGGATGGGTCGATGAACTCCATGGCTGTTCTCCGGAGGAATTTAGTAAGACAACCCCTCGGAACGTCTTCGCATGCTTGGTTGCTTGCAGACAGCTAAACGTCATTCCACGGCAGGATGGACTCTTGAAAAAGGTAAAATCGCGTTGCGACAGTTGCCGACTTGGGGACATCGGATCTGAAGCTGCTCAGTCGTACGGTCACTCCTCTCGACTTCTAAGGTTCTCGAAGAAGGCTCACTGGCCTCTAGGATCAAGAACCTTATTGAAGACTTCTATGATCAATGGTATGCGGCTTGGGCTCTTGAGATTGGTGGACCCTGTAAGTTTATTTACAAAGCTGGTCCCGATCATCATGAAGCAATTCCTTGCTAATATAACACGGAAAGCCCGCTGCCTTCCACCGTATGTTGAGATATTGGTAACACACACGCAACTGTCTACATATGGTGGCGTGATCAATCATCCCACAGCACCACTCGAAGTCAAGCGATTTTTCCGCGCTGCTGGCCTCTCTTCTGCATTGAATGTCATGCGGGCAGCCATTCAAGGAGAATCGCGGCTAAAGTCCATGCCCAACAATACAGTGATCATGATCGCCTTCGCCGCATGTTCTGCCCTTAGCCTCAGTGTGACGCCAGCGGACAGCAGGTCCAGCTTGGCACCGAGTGTGCGACATTTGATTGAGGAAACCGCTGATGTCCTCGAACGGATTGGCGCCATCCCAGCTCACAGAGAAGGTGCATCTGTCTTGTATGGACGACTACTACGAGAGCTTGTTAGACGTGCTCATGTCGGCTCTGTTTCTCAGAAACATATCGAATCAGCCCCGGTAGAGTCCTTACAGTCCTCCTCTACCTTGAGCGATTACTGCCCCTTACCTTCAGTGACACAACCACCAATAGATCCCTCTACGCTATGGCCGGAGACGCTACAATTCTCCGCGATGTCTGATCACCAAATCATCGATGCAGTGAACAGGGCTGACTCGGCATTCGGCATGAATATTCCTGACGTCCCACTGGATGATCTGATGAACTGGGATTGGTTCGACTTTGCCAATGCAGCCGACCTGGGTTTCGACCAATAACACCAACATTTCAATCCACAGTAATACCTTAAGCACCGATTATCCTGTGCGCTGCAATAATGTTGAGCGTGATTGTGAAATGGTGGGTCTCGGCTTCCTGTCGGTGCCCAGAAGTAGCTCCGATTGCCGAACGGAGCGTCACTTTTCGATTTCCATATGAGATGCCGTAGTGCTCTCTCGATGCAGAGAATATTTATTAGAAGATCTCAATCCAGATTCACACCATATACATGATTCGCAGCCCTGTTTTTCTCTCCTGGGTGGCATACTTCTCTTAATGCTGACGAGGAATGGCGACTTTGCGGGGTTCAGTAATCATATCTCCAACTCGAACATATACTGTTACCCGTCCATGGTCACAGTTAGGGACATGTTATAAAGCGTCTGCGCGACCGGTTCTTCCAACAACAAACATTCGCCATGTACGATATTCAAATGCCGCTCCGCAGCAACAGACACTCGCACCCAAGATCGAGCGTGGCGCTTCAAAACTATTCAGAGATGCAGATGAGGCTGTCGCTGACCTCAAAAGCGGATCTACAATCCTGAGCTCTGGATTTGGCCTTTGCGGTGTTGCAGGTAAATATCTTCCCCACAAGAAGATGGGTTCAACAGACAAATTGACATTACTCAGATACACTTCTATCGGCGATCAATCGTAGAGGGGTTGAAAATCTGCATTCCCTGACAGCCGTTTCGAACAACGCTGGCGCTCCTGGAAGAGGAGGACTTTCTACACTTACTCAAGCCGGACAAGTAGATCGGTTGATCCTATCCTATTTGGGGAACAACAAGGCTTTGGAGAAGAAGTATCTGGCTGGGAAGATCGCTATTGAGCTATGTCCCCAAGGAACATTAGCCGAGCGATTACGTGCCGGAGGAGCTGGGATTCCAGCATTCTTCACCCCCACGGGAGCGCGTAAGTTTTCAGTCGAAAGTCTTCATTCAATACATTGCATCTACAGTTCTCACTTAACTTTTTTTTTTTCGCAGACACGTTACTCCAAGCGGGAGAAATACCCGTCCGGCTAGATGAGTCTGGAAAAGTATTGGAGCGTGGCACACCACGAGAGACGAGGATATTCGATGGTAAAACTTATCTGATGGAGACAGCCCTCACTGGTGATGTGGCTATCCTTCGTGCCTGGAAAGCAGATGAGGTAGGAAACTGTGTTTTCAGGTAGGTCTGTTATCCGCTCATGCATCAGTCAATTTTGCTGAACAATGGAATTTCCCCAAGGTATACAACGAAGGCATTTGGTCCGGTCATGGCGAAAGCTGCCACTCTTACTATAGTGGAGGCGGAAAATATCGTTCCGGTCGGTTCCATTGACCCTAACGATGTCGACCTGCCGGGCATCTTTGTGGATCGCGTTGTTCCTGCTACGGCAGAGAAGCACATCGAAATCAAGAAATTACGGACTCCCGAAAATGAGGATGCGAGTAAGACCTCAAGCAACCCTGCCATGGTTCAGAGAAACCGCATTGCCCGGAGAGCAGCGAAAGAACTAAAGCAAGGATATTACGTTAATCTGGGTGTTGGTAAGTACCTCAGTCTTCTCGGGCCACTCAAGCGCTGACACTCGTCCAGGAATTCCCACACTGGCTCCGTCATTCTTGCCGGAAGGGGTGAAAGTTTGGGTGCAGTCAGAAAATGGTATTCTGGGCATGGTGAGGTAGCGTACAGACTTGGCCAAACAACATCAACTAATGGTTATGACTAGGGACCGTATCCCACTGAGGACGAAGTTGACCCGTAAGTTCTGTTCATTGGACATAGTGTATGTGTGAGTTGACCGGCTTGCAGGGACATCATTAATGCTGGCAAAGAGACAGTCACCCTCATACCAGGCGCAGCTACGTTTGATAGCACTGAATCGTTCGGAATGATTCGGGGGGGACATGTTGATGTATCCATTCTCGGGGTGAGTGAGGAAGATTATGCTTGTGAAGGAAAATGCTTGTGAAGGGATAGAGTACAGGAGCTAATGTTGAGCAGGCCCTGCAAGTGAGCGCCAAAGGCGATCTAGCGAACTACATGATTCCCGGAAAGGTCTTCAAGGGAATGGGAGGAGCTATGGACTTGATCTCTAATCCAGACCAAACCAAGATCGTTGTCGCTACCAGTCATAACGCCAAGGACGGATCTCCCAAGGTCGTCGCTGACTGTAGCCTGCCTTTGACAGGCGCAAATTGCGTCAGTACAATCATCACGGAACTGGTAAGCCTACTGACCCGGATGCAACCCCAGTCTCTATAGCCCGACTGACCGTGGCTATTTAGTGTGTTTTCCAGGTTGACCGAAGCAAAGGGGAGCTTCTGCTGACAGAGCTCGCCCCAGGGGTAGAAGTTGAGGAAGTCCGAAGCAAGACAGGGGCGAACTTTGCTGTTGCAGAGAAATTGGAGATTATGGAATGAAATCGCTCAATTCCGACCTTTGAAATCGCACATGGCAATGCTGGCTGCCATGTTAATAACGCATCGTGTAGACATCATGTACAGAATCTTATATTATGAACAATTTTCTACATGAACAAGGAGGGAGTGTTGACACCATTCCCCCCCTCCAGTAAGACTTCACCAGTGATGTGCTTTGCACGGGACGCACAAAGATCGATCCCAAGGGATTGAGCAGCCGGCCTTTGTACATAGTCAATGCGAGGGAAGATGTCTCTATGTACATATATACACCAAGGGGCATCCAAGTCTATCCACAACAACATCATCGTCACAGGGCATCTGATCAAAGCTTAGAGGTCCTGAGCGGCGCAAAATTTGACCCCGCGCCCTCGCTGATCGATTGGACGATATCATCCACGCTGGCCAGTATCCATGTATTACCCTCATCACTTGCCAGCCACAGGGCACCTTGCTCAGTTTCGACGTCGTCAGCCCATGACCCATCTTCGATTGCCTTTCGCAGACCAAACACATGCGATGTCACTTGCGGTCCCACACCCGACTGCGCACGCAGGCATGAAATCGCGACAATAGAGGTCACGATGCGTCCAGCGTTCGCACCGGTAGTCCGCTTAGCAGGATCCGATAATAGCGCACCGTAATGGCTGTTCAAAATATGGACAGGCAGATCAGGATGCGAATCCGCCAATTTGTTGACAAGCTTGGTTTCATAGGGCCGGTAGATGGAGTCCCACAAGGCTCGGCCGCGCCTACCAATCTCATTGATATTCCCCGGGTCCGGGACTCGAGTCGGAGTACGCGATAGTTTCTTGCTGACGGCTTCGGGCAAGCTCGCTTTGAAAGCATTGAGGCAGTTGATCGTCCGCGGGATGCCGTTGAAACTGATGCATTTCAGCCCCACCTCACGCATTAGCTCTGCTGTGGCTACGCTTTCCTCCTCTGTCTGAGCCGATGCAACCAATTGAAACAAGATCGCGAGGGAATCGGGAGAATTCATAGTCATCGTGGCGGCTGTCTGTTGGTTGTAGATAACGGGATAAGTCAAAGTCATCTCAGGACAGTTCGCTGGGGAATTCATACGGGGCGAGTGAGGAAGGGTTAACGAACCGACAAAGCCAGCCATGACGGTGAAGAAACATTGTTTGCTAGAGCGCTTTGCTGAATCTTTTGGTACACGGAGCGTATATTGCGAGGGGCAGGGACAGTATTTGAGCGCGCACCCGGGGCGTTGATCAGAGCCTTGAGGCTGCTGGATAGTTTCGACATGTCCTCTCAATCTCTTCGATCAGCGCCAAGGGAGTAGCCTATCTTGCACAATTGAAGATGATGAGCGATCTTGGTCGGATGAGCGAGGAATGGCCATGATCTTGACATCGGCCATTTCGCCGACCGAGCTGTTGATGATGGATGTCTCGGCGCCAAAACTGGACTCCGGGCGGTGTCGGTTGAGTCCGGCAATCCCAGCGGAATAATACGTGATTATACACGGTATTTTACCAAATTAGTCACGTGATAATATAGAGCGAATCAGTATTCCCAAGATTCAACGCCAAGCTTTTGAGCCCAAAACTAAGCAACCCGGGGTTTTCTTGGACTGGGGGAAAAAGTGCGGGGATACAAACAGAAATGACAAATTCACTTTTGTAGTTGTGGTATTTGCCCATCGGTTGCAGAAATGGTGGCCGAGATTGGAACACTCCCCCACCGTCGTTCTGCCAATCTTCAATCAGATACTTAACTCGACCCCCTGCTACATTCGTTATACTGTTCTGATGATCTTGATTACTTTCATTCTCATGTTCTCTCTACAGTTTGTCCGTACATATAGTCATGGATACAATGAAGCCTAGCCATGAGGCATTGGAAGATGTCAAACATGAGTCATTAGATAACATGTCTTTCGATGATGCCCGCCGACGGAAGTTGACTCGAAGTATTCTTTTCAAGCTGGACACGAGGTTAGTCTGCGACTCTGCATCCGACGTCTACGGTAATTAGATAGCTAAAATATCCTCGATAGGATTCTTCCAGTTTTGGCTCTTCTTTTTCTATGTTCATTCCTTGACAGGTAAGGAAACAGAACATCTCTTCAATTAGTACCAGGTTCACTTGATTGAAGATTGATCAAAAGCTTCTTTCAGGACAAACGTGGGAAACGCAAAGATTCTTGGTCTCCAAAATGATTTAAACATCACTGGTCATCAGTATGACATTGGTCTTACGGTCTTTTATCTCACATACATCTGCAGGTGAGCGTCAATGACTGAAAGCTTTCTGACTATGTTGCTGAGCCTGTGTCGGTAGCGAGCTTCCGAGCAATCTAATAATTAAGAAGGCGTCACCGAAGATCTGGCTACCTACTCTCACAATGGTCTGGGGAATCATCACCATGTGCCTGGGCTTCGTGCGTAATTTCGGTGGCTTCGTTGCTGTTCGTGCCATACTCGGTGTAGCAGAGGGAGGACTGTTACCTGGCATGGTATGTGAAGCATATCCCAGATCATTCTCTCTGATACCGGCTGGCTGTATTCCAATGAGCGAGACTAAGACTCCGTCAGGTTCTCTACCTGTCTTCCTTCTATAAACGTTCTGACTTGGCCCTTCGCATCGGCCTATTCTACACGGCGGCTTCGTTATCGGGGGCTTTTGGAGGTAAAGCTGACCTCCTTCTGGGTAATCCTTTCGAGAGAGGTGATTGCTGACGCGAAGTACCCCATTCTTGATAATAGGGCTTTTGGCTCGCGGATTGGCAGCGATTGGACCACGAGGTGGTCTTGAAGGATGGCGTTGGATTATGATCATCGAGGGTCTATTGGTAGGCCAATTCTCCGAACAGAGTATCTGTCCTACTTCTGATACCTGCCAGACTTTCGCGTGCGGCGCTCTTAGTTACCTCTGTCTTCCCAACAATATAGAAACGGCAACTTTCTTGACAGTGGAGGAACGACAGTTCGCCTGTGAGAGAATGCGATTGGATAATCCATCTGTGCCTGAAGGGTATGCCGAGGTTTTTGCCAATCTTTCAACCCAGAAGCCGCATGCCCCCCTACTATCGAGTTTCAAATTTCGATCTCTGCTGACATCACCCAACAGAACTATTGAGGCTGAACATGAGGCCTTCAGGTGGTCCGAGGTTGTCCGAGGTGTACTGGACTTAAAAATGTGGCTGTCAGCGACAGCGTACTTTGCTATCTTGTCTGGGTTATACTCTTTTGGTCTTTTTGTCAGTCGACTCTTGACTGCCACCAAACAAATATCTTTGCTCATGACAGAAATCTAGCTACCTACCATCATCAAGGAAAGCGGCTTTGCGGACGATGCGAACAAAGTGCAGCTTTGGACTGTTATTCCGTACGCTGTTGCAGCTGTAATCACAGGTGGGCACTTTTATCATCAATCAATGCAGGTTCACTCAGTCGCTGACCGCATGCATTCTTTTGGTCCAGTCGTTGTGGCTGTCATCTCAGACCGGCTGCAGGTCCGTGGTATTATTATGCTATTTATCCTGCCGATTGCGATTGCTGGTTACGGAGCAATTGCCAACATCGAGTCCGCCAAAGTCAAGTATGGGATGACCTTCCTTATGGCCACGGGCATGTACAGCAGCGTCCCATGTATTCTGGTTTGGAATTCCAACAACTCCGCTGGGCATTACAAACGGGCCACTACGTCCGCGATGCAGTTGGCAATTGCAAACTGTGGAGGGTTTGTAGCTAGTGAGACTTCGTTCCTTACTTGCTGAAGTTCCTGGACTGACATGTGAGTTTTCTACCAGCATTCAACTACCCTGACAAGGATAAGCCAGATTACCATCGAGGCCACACAATAGTTCTCAGCCTGCTTATATTCGCATGGGTTATGTAAGTGCAACAGCTTTGTCTATCGATCCATGGCTGTCCAACTGATCTTATACACAGGATCCTATTGAATGTCTTATACTGCGCTAAAATCAATAGAGACAAGGCGCAGGGCAAATATGCACAGTATACAGGATGTAACGATGATAGGGATCCACAATTCAAGATGGTTCTGTGAAGGAAGTCTATGCCTGCATACTGTATTTAGTGAAGACGAAACTCCCAATCGGAGCTGATCCTCGGAAGATGATCTTCTTATACAAGAAATATGAAAATGTGATATGACAATAAGAACTTCTTCAGGACGTTTGTCATCAACACTATGAACCCGGGAGTTTCCTGAGAATTTTTCATCTGTACAACCAATAGAAAGATGAATTGCGGTAGGATGATCTAGATACCACATAAAACTGCCCCGTTACGTGTTGTAATTCGCAAATAACAGCCAGAATTAGGCTTCATGTTCGCAACCGAACATCTAAGCGCTCTCTCCGGGCTGATTCGAAGCCATCCTTTGCGCACGCTCTCTCCCCGCAAAGCTTATTAGCATACCGATATCATAGATTGCTTTCAGGATACCAGCTAGCGTGAAAGAGGCACCGAAAAGATTATGATTTGCCAAAACACCGGTGATGAGCGGGCCTAAGCTCTGACTGCAAGTCTTGACGACGTTGATGGCGCCCATGATTGCAGTGCGCTTTTCGGGCGGAAGAGCAGCGGCCAAGAAGGCACTGCGTGGCGCAACATCCATGCTCTGTGAGCAGGCACGGAGGATCAAGAAGGTCAAGGCTGCCGGCAGAGCGGAGGGAACTGGGATGAGTGCCAGACAGATGGCGGACGGCAGATGGGTGAAGACCATGGTCTGTGATATAGTCAGGAACCTGAGTGGCAATGGACGAATGCAATTGTAGGCGAAGAGCGAACCTTGACATTGCCGATCCGTTTGGCTATGGAAGATGCAACCAGCATCGATGCGGCGGAGATTAGGCTGGTGGTAAAGAAGATCGAGCCGAGCTCTCCCTCCGGCAGAGAGAACTTGCGCTTGAAGAAGTATGTCATCCAGGATCTGTGAAGCAGGGTCAGTTCGATGTGTGCTGTCATCTTAGGGTGCCAATAATACGCACAATGAGGCCAAACCTGAGGCGAACGAGTCCAGACCAAACAAGACGAAGAGTGTGACGACTAAAGAGACGAGATCGCTACTACCGAGGAAAGAGAAGAGTGATTTCTTCTGGTTGTCCTCGTTATTGGCTCTTTCGCCCAGGAGAGGCTGGGTTTCTGGACCATCAGCTGCTCGTTGTTGCTGCTGAGAGGCAGTAGCACCATTCTTGTCCTTCTTGGCGGCTTCAACCTCGTGACTTAGGCAGATGGAAAGAAGAAACTTGACTGCACCGATCCCGGCATAAGCGAAAAAGACAATTTGGCATGCATGGAGATATTGCCACCCTTTGGTAGTTTGCAAGAGGTTGATGATCCACCCGCACACCATCATTCCGAGGGCTGTGCCTGCGGTGCCGATCAGAGAGTACCAGACGAAGATATCGCTCAGATGCTCTTTGGCAGTGAGATGAGCCAGAGTAGATTCCTCAACAGCTCGAAAAGGACCGATCTCATTACCACTGCGAAAGCCAATTGTGAACACGATGAACGGGGCATCGGTCGGATCCAGGGAAGCACTCACCTGGGACTGATGACACCGAGAACTGCAGCGACCAAAAGAATCCAGTAATTGCCAAATAAACCAAAGACGATACCGCTGCAGGCCATGAGTGCAGACCCGAAAGCCAGGACTGCTCTGCGGCCCATTGCATCGGCGAAGAGAGTAAGGACGAAGCTGATTGCAACATCGCCGACCAAAGTTAAGGTCATGAATAAGCCAATGCGGTCATCTGAGATGCCCAAGGCAGACAGGTATGAAGCTAAGATCAGAGTTGAGCCTCCATACGCGAAGAGTCGGATGAAGCGCTGTGCACAGAGAACCTTGACGTCCAATGATGAATGCCATAGTGTCAGAAGGCCCAGCTCGCCGAGGACTTTTCTATGCAGACCATTAAATCTGCCCGGAACAGAATCTGTGGACGCCATGTGAGCGGATGGGTCATTCAACTGGTCAGAGTTGGTAAAAGTGAATACCTCTCTTTTCTCTCCGTCGCCAAGATGACTGTTTTCCCTCATCCCAGACAAGCAAAAAAATAGGCAGCCATCGCCGATCGCCCGCTTCCTTTTCCGGTTAAATCGGCCGAAATGGCTTGATCCATCTGGAAAATCGAACGACAACAACCATTTCAATATGATGTCCTATATCTCACACTTTCCTGCATATATCTGCGTGTAGGTCCGACTGTCTAGTTCTGTTCATCTTACTCATGTGTACCAAGCATCCGGAAAGTCTCACCAATGGAAGGACTC